AGGAGAGGAAGGCCCTCTATGAGGTGGATTGATTCAGTGACTGGGATAATTGGGATGGGAGTGTCAGAGACAGTGCGATTGGCACAGGACAGAGTGGAGTTTAGGGCTGTTGTACATAGGGTCGCTATGAGTCGCAAGCGACTCAACGGCACATAACAACAACAACAAAAACACATATAGACACTCATATGTATATGTTATTGTTGTGTGTCATTGAGTCAGAATTGACTTATAGCTGACACTGCAGTGGATTTTCAGAGGCATTAAACTGTGTGAGAATAGAGTTCCCATTCTTGTCTAGCAGAGCAGCTGGTAGACTCGAACTATATGCCTTTGGGATTGCCGTACAGCTCCTTATCACTAAACCACCAGAGCTTCCTCATATATATACACATGTATGTTGTTGTTGTTGTTGATTGCCTTTGAGTTGCACACAACTCATAGCGACTCTATGAGCAAAAGACCTGAGACCAATAGAAAATATTTCAAAGTTTTGAATAAAGTATTCCAAACAAGCGCAAGGGCACTTAGCCAAAAATAGCGTCATCCTCTTAAATGTTGGCACGTCTGAGCCCATTGCTGCAGCTTTTGTGTATTGCCTTCCGACCCAGCGTCTCATCCTACAGTACTGTGTCTGCCAAGGTTCTGAGGTTTAGTAACACCTTCATTGTATTTCTAAGGCTATAAATCTTTGTGGGGGAGAGGCAGTCTATCTTTCTGTCTTAGTGAGATGGGTAAATTTGAACAGCTGACTTTGCTTTTAGAAGCCCAACATAGTACATAATACACCAACCAACCACTAGGACTCCAGAGAGGGTTCTTTGTATTTCAATCCTGCACCTACTGTTCAGTCAATACAATGACACAATTAACCTTTCCAGAAACCATTGTGTTAAAGAGCAAATAGAGATTATATAGTGTGGAACTGGGGGAAAGCCTGAAGTGGGAGTGAGATCTTTGGCTGATAATTATAGTCAATAATAGCTGTGAAATATTAACAATGAAAATTAAGTATATAAAACAGCTATGAGATACAATCTCACCCCAGAAACAATAGTAAAGTTGACAGGGCAGCAAACAACAAATGCTTATGAGGTTGAGGAGAGACCGGAACCCTTATTCACTGCTGATGAGGATGTAAAATGGCACAACTATTATGGAAGGCAGGCAGAAGAAAGTTCAAAATAGGAATACCATCTGAACCAGAAATTCCACTGCTAGGAATATACTCTAAAGAGACCAGAGCCACAACTCAAATAGATGTAAGCACATCCATGTTTATTGCTGCATTAGTCACAATAGCAAAGAAATGGAAGCAACTCAAGTACCTATCAGTAAATGAATGGATAGAAAAACTATGGGATATCCACAATGTGGCATTGAAAAATAATGAAATAGTAAAACATTACACAATATAGGAGCGTTGAGGACATTATGTTAAGGGAAATAGCTCAGTCACAAAAGGATGAATACTACGTAGCATCACCATTCTAAAACAGGGCAGACATGGGGGATGGAGAGGGAATGGGGAAGAGCGATAGACAATAAAGACTGAATTGAAACAGATGAGGGAAGAACTGTCTGAAAGAAATATATGATTAAATACCATTTGACTCAGCAATTCCACTACTGGGAATATACCCCAAAGAAGCCATAACTGCCACCCAAGAAGATATATGCACACCCATGTTTATCCTGGCTTTGTTCACAATAGCAAAGAGTTGGAAACAACCTAAGTGCCCATCAACAAATGAATGGATAGAGAAGCTGTGGTATAGTCACACAATGGAATACTACGCTGCATTGAAAAAACAAGGAACTCATGAAATAGTTCACAAATTGGGTGACCCTGGAGGACGTTATGCTTAGTGAAATACCTTGGCCACAAAAGGACAAATACTGCATGTGCCACTGTTGTAAAACAGAACTGACATGGGGGTTGGGGAGAGACTGAGAAAGATAGGATAAATGATGTATACTGCATTGAAACAGATGAGGGAGAAAACTGTTTAAAAAGGATATATGATTAGGTATTATTGTCATGACAGAGTCCAGAACGAAGGCCACATAGTGGAGTGGACTTGGGGGGAGGGATTGTATAAAAATAAAAGAATTTTTCTTTCACTTTTCAAAGAGAAGAGTGAACTGAGGGGGAGGGGGAGGCAGGGAGAAAAGTGCAACAGTGAATGAATGGAAATATTAAAAAAGAAATATATAATTATACATTAAATGTATGAGAACAGTTTGGAAAAAGAGAGGCATTATGGGGAGTGGGGGAGAAATGTACAATAACAAATTAAATATTTTTAAAATTAACAAAACATTTAAAAAAGAAATACAATTTTTTTTAAAAAAATACAATTTTAAAAAATGAAGTACAGATCTGCCATTGGGATAGAGAAAAAGAACTGGAGAAGAAAGATGTTGTTGTTAAGTATCATTGAGTCAGTTACGACTCATACAACCTTCTTTGACAGATGAAACTGCCCCATAGAGTTTCCTAGGCTACAGTCTTCATGGAAACAGCGCCCGAGATCTTTCTTCCTCAGAGCTACTTGGGAGCTCAGACCGCTGATCTTTGGCTATGCAGATAAGACATAGCTAAACCACGGGCTACCAGGCTTCATTAAAATGTATGAACAAAACCTCATTCAAAATCAACATAGGAAGACATTGCCCAAGGAAAAGATTTTCTTGAGGGCTGCTAATAGATTCAAACCACTGAAAATCCAGGAATAGCTAGCCTTTGGGTTAGCAGTGCAACCCAAAGCAATGGGTCCCTTAGACAGCACACAATTTATTTTCAGATTGTCTGAATGGTGATCTCATCTCCATCAAATTCTCATTTCTTTACTGTCAAACTCTAAGATGTCTCTTAATTCTTCTTTGCCTGTGTCCCATAGGAGTTTTATCATGTTAACATGGATGGACTTGTTTAATATAAAACGCTGTAGAATGTTAATTATTATTATGAATACAATCATAAAGTATTGTGGAATGGCATAGGATTTCTTAAACGTATTTTCACATTGTGCAGAGGGGGGAAATGCGTATAGTCAGCAATAAAGCAAATGCTGCAAAATGTTAGCAATTAATGGATCTAAGCTGTGAGTATTCCATAATGTTTCTTTTTTTCAAAGGTAAATAAAAGGTGAGAAAGACATTAGAAATATATTAACAGGTAGTCTTCAATTTCCAACAGGGCCAAATTATGCACATTCGTTGTTTGTTGTGTGTGTTTTATTGAGGGGTTTTTTGGTACACCTTTGGTGATAAATACTACTTCCCCCCTTCCAGAGTGTAATTTGCTGATATTGTCCTTTCTGTGAGTTTATTTGTTCTGTCTCCAACTCCCAAGACAAATATCACATTTCTAAAGATTCTGATATTAAAAAGGCAACAACAAAAGTGAGAAATTAAAAAGAGGCATGTGACTTATGTCAGAATTCACTTGCATCAGAGCTGTGGAAGTGCTGAAAAGAAGCAAAATGTTATTTTCTTCCTGAAGTCTTCCTTTCTGGCTGCTTCTTGCTAAACTCTTCTGTGAAGTTAGGTCTCTGGGCCTCCAGGAGAAAAAGACTAATAACCCAATTACAAAATGGGCAAAAGACTTTCCAAAGAAGAAGATATTCAGATGGCCAACAGGCACATGAAGAAATGTTCAAAATCACTGACAAAAAGAGAGATGCAAATCAAAACCACAATGTGATACCGTCTTACTCCAGGAGTAGTGGAAAAGTTTAGCAGGTCAGCAAGTAATAAATGTTGGAGAGGATGTGGTGTGAAAGGAACTCATACCTTGTTGGTGGGATTGTTAAATTGGTAAAACCACTCTGAAGGGCAGTTTGGCACTTCTTCGAAAAGCTGAACATAAAAATTCCACATGACCCAGCTGTTTCACTGCTTGGAATACACCCCAAGAGAATGAGAACTGAGGCTCAAATGGAGATTTGTATACCAATGTTCATAGCAGCGTTATTCATCATCACAAGAACATGGAAACAGCCCAAATGTTCAACTACAATTGAGTGGATTGAGAAATTATGGTACATTCACGTGATGAAATACTACACAACATGTAGAAGCAATGATTTTGTAAATTACTACTTGGGAGGGACTGCTGAGTGAATTAACTCAGTCCATAAGGACAAATACTATATAAGACCATTATTATAGAACATGTATAAGGATCCAAGGGGGCAGGAGGGAGTAGAGAGGTGAGATTGCGGGAGGGAGTTAATCATAGGGTCACACAATTTGATAGGTGGAGGGAGGGTGGGTAAAAGAAAGGAAAAGATTCAGTGTGAAAAACAATGTATATAAGCTTTATAAGTAAACCAGTATATAACAAAACCTTTTTTTATAAAACAAAACAAAACAAAAAACAGGGAGAAAAACCAGTCCTATCTTATGGAATGCCCTATACTACTAAAAATCTAATAGATATAATGTTCTTAGGTGCCATTAAGTTGACTATGACTCATAGAGACCCTATGAAAAATGGATCTGAGCCCTGCTCTATCCTGCGCCATCCTCATCATCTCTGACATACTTGAGCCCATTGCTGCAGTCAGTGTATTAATCCATCCCTTTGAGGATCTTCTCCTTCTCTGACCCACTACCTTTCCAAGCAAGGTGTCCTCTTCCAAGAACTGGCTCCTCCTGAATTTTGCAACCACAGTGTCTGGACACTAGGGGTTATTGGTTGAACTATTTGAGTAACATCAATTGATCCCTAGATCCCATGTTTTTGCTGTTCAGACTCCAGCCAATCTAGGCTGCTGCAGCCACCTTACCATTGCATATGCATGACCAGCCTCCTGGCTTCCACCCTGCTCAGAGCACCACTGGCTGGAGCCAGAGCGCAGACCTGCTCCTGAGACCAGAGTGCAGACAGCTCTGCAGCCCCATCCAGGAACCTCTGTCTCAACAGACCTCTGCCTGCTGACTTCCAGCACAGGGCCTGTTTCTAATGACCACATGCTGCAGGTCGGCTCTCAATGAAACCCTCCAAGGCCTCCCAGCGCTATAGAAGCAACCGGCGAAATGCCAGCCAGAGCTACTTCTACCAGGATTCCCTGCGGTTCAGGTGAGCTGGCACCAATCACCACCTGGGTAGTGCCACCTGAGAAAAAGGTCCTCATCCTTCTCTGATCTCCTCTGAAATTAACTCAGGAATTTATTTCTTCAGGTTTTTGTCTAACCAGGGTGGCACTCAGCGACAGGTAGGGAGGGAGATGACTCTACCTGTTGTTTCTTGACAGTGAGGCAGGGGAGCAGCCCTCAAATCCTGTGTTTAACTGGGCTTAATGACTGGCCAATCTGTATGCACCGTTTTTCTCCAGTTAGCCATCTATGTCAAGGTGTGGGTAGTACATTTCTCAGCATAGATAAAGTGTCTGTTGGAAAAGCCTTACAAGTAGAAGTAGGCAAGTGTTAGAAAACTTGACGGCTTGTAAAGCTATAAGAAACGTGGACAGCATAGTGCATTAATGTGTTATGCCGCTAGCCGGAAGGTCAGAGGTGCAAATCTTACAGCTGCTCTTAAAGAGAAAAATGAGCTGTTTTCTCCTGTAACTGTGAATCTGAACTGACGTGACTGCCATGGGTGGGCATATAGGTATATTCAAACCTTGTTAATGTGGGAGAAAAATTCTCCTGTGGTTAAGTCAGCAGTGTCTGAATTAGAAAAGAACCAAAGAAATATTTCCTTTTCATTTAAGGTGCACCTCTGAGCTGATAACCTGAGGAACATGTTCACCTTCTCCAGAAAATTACTAGCAGGATTAGCATATTAATTGTTCCAGGGAATAAACCTTGCTCTCTGTTGCCCAGTTGTTCTTCTAGAGATGTACATTACTTCCATGGAATATTTTTCTCCGTGTGAATTTGCCAGGCTAATTGTCCCGTTGTAGGTAATTTCAGTAGAAGCTGCTGCCTGCTACTACCTTGCTTGTGTCAAATTTCAAATAAAGCAAATGGAAAGGGTCACTGAGTGAAACAGATTGGTTCTTGGTTTGTGTTTTTTGTTGTGTTTGTGGTTTTTGTTTTTTGTTTTTTGTTTTTTATGTTTGGCACTGGAGGACAAGGAGGACTCCAGACCCTAAAATGAGCTGATTATTTCAATGAGCCTGGAAAGTTCATTATTTTGCCACTGAAGATTCAGGAACCATACTATCTTATTTCCTCGTGTTGATAACTGCTGATGATATTTTCCATTTCGAGAAAACATTCTCTTTCACCAGTTCAGTGAAGCTATAACCAACTGGGGTCAAGTCTGTTTCAATTCCTGGCTCCCATGTATGTGTCATAGCTGAACTGTGCTCCATGAGGTTTTCAGTGTCTGGTTCTTTTGGAAGTGAAAGGCTGAGTCTTTGTTATGAAACATCTCGAGGTGGACTTGAACCACCATACCTTTGGTTATCACTTGAGCCTGGTAACTGTGTGCACCACCCAAGGACTGGAGCCACAGGGTCTAATAAATGTGTTCCAGGGGGCTGCCTCACCACTGGGTTCTCGTCTATCTCTCTAGATCTCTGAGCACTCCCATTCTCCTACACATCCACTCTGTAACCTGTGGCCTTGAGATACTGGGCTTGCCCAAGCAGGAAAAGTTTCTCGAGAAGCAGAATCTAACCAGATTTCCCCTTCAATACCTGACCCATACAGCAACTCAGATGACAGCTTTAATGCCGATGAGGCAGGGGACAGCAATGACCCAGAACAAATCTTCCAGAACATACAGTTCCAGAAAGATCTCATGGCAAATATCCGATGCAGACCCTGGCCCATGGGGCAGAAGCTGAGGGTGCTGAGGTGAGGGCCTTAAGGGCAATTGTTGATTATTGTTAAGTGTTACTCTTAGCGTTTTACTAAGGCACACGTGTGAGAGGATTCGGTCAATAACTGTGGACCTGATTGAGAGTCATAGAGACGGGGTAGAGAGAGAGAGACAGAGAGAGAGAGACTGAGTGTGTGTGTGTGTGTGTGTGTGTGTGTGTGTGTGTGTGTGAGAGAGAGAGAGAGAGAGAATGCATATTTGCCCAAGTTGGACCTATAGGTTGTTATAGAGTATTTGATCTCCTGTCTCAAATATAAATGCTACTTTACTTCTCTTTCTTTCTGGAAATGAACAATATAATCAAGCTCAAAAAGGGCAAGCTGTAAACCAGAAAAAAGAAAGTCACTTTGGTTTCTCAGCTGTTACATCTGTTCACCATATCTGGCTGCCTAGGGGTAAGATGCTGCACTGCCAACAAAGACATGTGGTTCGAATCCACCACGTGAGAAGGATAGGCAGTCTCCTCCCATGTGATTTAGTGCATCTGAAAACCCACTGGAGGGTCAGCTATGAGCTGCTTCTGACTCCACAGTACATAATAGCAATGGGGGGGGGGACCTTCTGGGGGAAGCCTGATGATTATGACCCTGAGGACCCTATTGGAGGACTGTCTAGGGAACAGTGGAGTGCTGAAGATTCAAAGCCAAGAGCCCGAGTTCACATACTACTACCAACCACTCACGGGCTGCTGGATGATTTTCTTCATTTGACTATATACCAACCTCCTTATCTTTAAAATAAAAAGAAGCACATGTAGCACTGTGGTTAAAGCACTTGCCTCTCTCTCTCAAAAAAAAAAAGGCAGCATTTAGAAGCTGTCAGCAGGAGAAACAGAAGGCAACCTGCTTCTGTGAAGACTTACAGGATTGGAGAGCCGCAGGGGCACTTCTGCTCTGTCCTCCAGGGCTGCTGGGATGGACCCCAGTAGCAGCCTGGTTCATTTTTTTTCTCCCCTAGCCATCTCCTAAGATGGAAGGGATGAGGGGAAACAGCACCCTACTCCTGCACAGCGTTTCCAAAAGTGCATTCTGTAAAACTTTCAGAACTGAGGAGCATTAACATTGTTGTTGCTAAGATACCTGATTGACCTCAGACTCACAGAATAAGAAACTGTCCCTTTAACGACTCCAGCGTGATCTCAAACACACTGAGGCTTGTCTGTGGATGGGAATAGAATCACTGCTGTATCTTGCTCTCCAGGCCTTTTTTCTAGAGGCTAGGTAGACAATCTCTGCATTTCTTTCCCCTCAAATCATGCCTCAGTTTTACTTCTATTTCTATCTCTCTTCTGCTGTTCTGACCAGGCAGACAGCAGGTCACTTGGGAGAGTTCAGTAGCTAGCTAGGCTTATCCATATTTTCACTCTCAAAACTTTCCAATGCAGTCTTCTTTATTGGCCTTCTACTTCTGTTATCAGTGTTCATCATTCCACCTCTTTGAGTAACACTCATTGCCATGGAGTCAGCAGTGACTCCTAACCTACCATCCAGCAAGTTGTCAGAGGCTGTAAATGGCACAGGAGGTGGCCCATCATTCTCCCAAAGAGCAACTAGAGGATTAGAACAGCCTATCTTTGAGTTGACAGTACAACTCCTTACCCAGTAGGAGACCTCCACAGTTCCGCATTTCGTAAGAAATGTTAAGTTATCCAACGATACACATCTTCTGAGTCTTGGAATTGAACTTTAAACCTCTAATGTCTAACTCCCAGTCCAGTGTCCAGTAGGCATTATAGCAATATAACTAAAAAAACAGAAATAAAAATTTAAGAAGAAGGAGAAGGGGAGAAAGCAGGTATTGTACCAGAATTTGTTAAAAGCATGCAGAAACCTTGACTGTTAATGACTATGCAAATAGTAAAAAGGACTCCTGGTAGTCTAGTGCTTAACATATCAGGTTGTTTAGACAAAGGTGATTGTTATTGTTGTTGTAGCTGTCAAGTCAGAACCAACTCATAACTCACCTTCTAGTGGGTTTTTAGAAGCTGTAAATCACACAGGAGGAGATTCCCTATCTTTCTCCCATGGAGGTGGATTTGAACCGTTTACCTTTGGGTTGGCAGTGCAACTTCGTACCTCTAGGCCACCAAACACTTTCAGGAAGAAAAATGATCAGCCTCCTCTTATAAAAATTTGCAGCCTCAGACAGCTGGTGGAGAACAGCTCTGAGTCAGAACCCACCGACAGCAATCAATTTAGTTTTAGTGTTGAACTGTAGGAACTTAAACCTTTTTCACCCTTTGAAAGGTACACAGTATATAATGACTTTTCTGTCAGGACACGTCTGAATAAAAGAACAAATGGGCCCTAGCAACCGGCAATGCCATTCAAGCGAAGCATCAAAATGGCTGACACAGGCAGCGCGTTTGCTGATGGTCAGATTCATACCGTACTACTCTCGCTCTGAGCCTCGATTTGCTGTACCTTGTCACATGCATCTCCTCTCTGTCACCTTGAGCAGCTACTGGAGCAACTCTTCATTAACTGGACCTGCTGATGCTCATCCTAGTGGAGAGCTCAGAAAGCATTAAGCCCTGTTCTGGAATTGAGATAAAAGCAGGGAGCTGTAGCCTCGAGCCTGGAGCAAAAGTCAGCTGGGAAGGTGGTCAGTGCTAGTGAAATCACCATCAGCATGTGATCTCACCTGGGTACATTCGTCCCTCCAAACTCCCTCGGCACCTAGCTCAGACCTTAATCATAACCCTTCAGACTCGCTGCTACTGAGTAATTTTCTGTTCACAGGGACCCTCCATCAGGTTTCTGGGGCTGTGAATATTAGTAAGAGAGTGCTACCTCACCTTTCTCCCATGGGACAGCTCATGAATTCAAACCACTGACCTTTCAGCTAGCAGCCCAACATATAACAGTCTATGCTACCTTGTTGTATATCATTGATTCAGAACTGACTCATGGCTGACTCTCCAGTGTAGTTTTCAGGGACATTGTTAATCCCTTAGAGTGATAGTGTTCCTCTTTCTTCTACGACACACCAAGTGGGATCGAACCTCATACCTTCAGATGGTCAAGGCTGCAAGACCTCATACTATCTTAATACATTTAATTACTACTTACTCTTGCTAACTGTTTCTTTATGTTTCTTTGATCCCTACCGGGTCATAAGCTCTTCTGGACAAAAATCTGTTTCAAGCATCATTGCATTCCACTGTACTTGTTGCACAATAAGTACAGAAAATGTTTGCAAGGGAAATACATATAATATATTCACATATATGATATTTATATTATATGTTCATATA